AGCCCCGGCCTCTTCGGGCGGGCGCGGAGAGCACGCGATGCGGGGACGGAAAAGGGCGTCCGGCCCCTTCCGGCTGTGCCTTGAATCAGCTCGCCTGTTGTCAGCTCACATGCTTCCATTTCCCCTGCAGACCCAGCATGGCCGCCCAAGGAGAGCCCCAAGTGCAGTTTAAGGTAAGGGAGTGGCTTAGATTTTATTTTATTTTTTTCCCCTCAGTGGAAAAGTAGCACGAGTGACTCTGGAGTGCCAACACGGAGGGTAGATTGGGTTTTGAAGTGCTGGTCTCCCCTTCACGGTGCAATTAGTTTATTGTAGTATTGTGTGTAACTTGTATAAAAAGGTTTTGCTGCACTGTGTTAATCTGATGTTATTTGTAGTTAAGTGTAATAAATTTTAGTGGTACTTTGCCTATAGCATGATGTTTAAATTTTGGAAGTGAAGTTTATGGCAGAAAGTGCTTAGAGTGAATTAGAATAGGTGGTTTTCTGTTGTGTATTAAGTGCTTCAATGTTTCAGAATAGATTTTTTTTTTTTATTTTGTTTTTTTTTTTTTTTAAATAATCTTAATAGTCAGAAGCCCTTAAGGCTGGTTGTTTCTTGTGTTTCTTATGATATTTGGCTTGAGTATTCCAGCTGTTAGTACTGGAGTTGTTTAGATGTGAGGTTTTTTTTTTCCCCCCTCGGTATGAGATTATAATGGGTTTTTCCATTTTGGGTGTTTTAAGTAAGTTTTTCTCTAAGTATGGTTACATTCAAGTTGAACACCTCAGATAGTCTTAATTCAGTCGCTTGTAGTTTAGAACCATATTCAGTGTCCTGTAGTTTTCATCTTCAGGAACTAGGTAAGTGTGATTAGAGTTGAGCATACTAAGGTCTTTGTAGTAATAATTAGCATTTACACTAAAATGACCAATAAATGTCTCTTAAGTGTATTGCTCTGACTTATTGTTGCCTTTTATCTATCAACAGCTTGTCCTGGTTGGCGATGGTGGCACTGGTAAAACAACATTTGTAAAACGTCACTTGACTGGTGAATTTGAAAAGAAGTATGTAGGTATGTCCAAAGAAAGCTTTGAGATCTGGTTTGTTATAATAAAAATTCTTGCTAAAGTTCATAGCTTGCTAAATGCACTGTTTTTTTCCCCTTATTACTATAGCAACGCTGGGTGTTGAAGTTCATCCTCTGGTGTTTCATACTAATAGAGGTCCTATTAAATTTAATGTATGGGACACAGCTGGCCAAGAGAAATTCGGTGGCCTGCGAGATGGCTATTACATCCAAGGTAAGATATGTGTATGTATGGGAGTATTCTGTACCTCGGACAGCTTCATTTTGTTTGTGTTGGTCACTCTGATAGCTGTCAGTGTGGCTTGCAGTGATGAGTTGGTGTCAGTCTTCAAACTGTGTAGGTATGATTGGCATTAAGAGTAGTGGTGAACCTTAAATGACAAGATACAGTGGATGAGATTCAGGGATTAAGAGGTGAAAGTATGTGCTTCAGGTAGTAAAAGTTTATATTCTGTACAAAAGACAAAGACTTGCAACACGCAAACTCTGAATATTTTGGATATGATAATGAAATTTTATGTCTCCATGTCAGTTTGGTTGTCTTTCTAAAGAATTACTGATAAGTGTTCCCTTACTTCCACTTGGTTGAACTTTCTTCTGTGTGTACTTCAGTCACCTGCCTGTCTTCAAAATTTTGCAAGGGATTATTAGAATTGCTTTTCTTTTAGAAGTATCTGGATCAAATCAAGCCCTTATGCTCTTTGAAAAACTGTTCTGAATGGGGGCTTTCTGAGATGTGCACTACAAGCTCTCAGCCTGCCTGAAAGCCTCAGTAGGATGTCTAGTGTTATCTCATTTCTGTCAGCTACTTGTGTAATCCTTGTATACGCTCATACCATGCAACGCCACGTTACTCGTTGGGACAGTTACACTGATAGAACTAGCTGGTGTTTAAGTTTGGGTGCTGAAGATGTGAGATAACACAGTCATGGGCTGAGTTCTGTGGACTTGTTCATTGAACATGTTAATGGAACATGTGGCCTTGGAGCTGTAAAGTTGAGGGGGATTGTTCATTGAACATGTTAATGGAACATGTGGTCTTGGAGCTGTGAAGTTGAGGGGGAAAAGTTAATGCAGATGCTTAACCCTAATGTGGGATTTCTCTGAATACCTCTTCTCTTCCGTCTTAGAAGCGTTTCCTGATGTAACTCCTGACTTCTTTTGTTGCAGCTCAGTGTGCCATCATAATGTTTGATGTAACATCAAGAGTTACTTACAAGAATGTACCTAATTGGCACAGAGATCTGGTACGAGTATGTGAAAACATCCCTATAGTGTTGTGTGGCAACAAAGTGGATATTAAGGACAGAAAAGTCAAGGCAAAATCCATTGTCTTCCACAGGAAGAAGAATCTCCAGGTATGCTGACATGAGTTTGTAGGAGTTAAATTTGGTGGGTCTGTGGACTGCAGTTGGATTCTGTGCACTAATGCCAAGTGTTCTGCCTTTGTCACTACACACTAATATTTCAAATTTATGTCTTCTTGGCTGTTTGAACCTAACATCGGGGAGAGGGATGATCAGGTATGCTGACATGAGTTTGTAGGAGTTAAATTTGGTGGGTCTGTGGACTGCAGTTGGATTCTGTGCAGTAATCAAGTGTTCTGCCTTTGTCACTACACACTCTAATATTTCAAATTTACGTTTTCTTGGCTGTTTGAACCTAACATCGGGGAAAGGGATGATGATCATCACTGGTTTTGAGCAGAAGTTACGCAAGTTCTTTAAGAGCTTATTGTATCTTTGGCTTTTGCTGCTCAGAATCTCGTCAGATGACACAGAAGTGAAATTAAAGTTAATCAAGTCACAGGAAAAAGATAGATGCACTATTTTTTCCTGAAAATTCCATTTTTGATCAGATTAGATACCTCAGTTTTCAGTTACCAGTTTATGCCCGTTTGCCTGAAACTGTGTATTTGAACACTTGGATCACAACTGTTTCTGAGAGCATAAACAGAAGTCGTGGCCAAGAAGAGTACTAATGTAGAGGTCGAGCTGATCATGTGCATGTTGTTCTTGGTATGTCCTAAATGTCAGTTACAGGTGTAATATTTTTGTTTAATTTCTGGGGGTTTTTTAATGGCAATATGTACTTTTTTTTTTTGCAGTATTACGACATTTCAGCTAAGAGTAACTACAACTTTGAGAAGCCTTTCCTCTGGCTTGCTAGGAAGCTAATTGGAGATCCTAACTTGGAGTTTGTTGCCATGCCTGCTCTTGCACCACCTGAAGTTGTTATGGACCCAGCACTGGCAGCACAGTATGAGCAAGACTTACAGGTAGGAGGGAAAGGGCACGGAGGTGAAATAATCACCTGATAACTAATGTTTGGACTCCCAGGGCAACCAGCTGCAGAACAGTTCTTAAGTGTAGCTTCTCTGTTCCAGATTGCTCAAACTACTGCACTGCCAGATGAAGATGATGACCTGTGAGGGATGAAGCTGGAGCCCAGCGTCAGAAGTCTAGTTTTATAGGCAACTGTCCTGTGATGTCAGTGGTGCAGCGTGTTTGCCACTTTATTATCTAGCTGAGCAGAACATGTGCTTAATCTTTGGGATGCTGAAAGAGATGAATGGGCTTCGGAGTGAATGTGGCAGTTTAAAAAAAGAAAACAAACCTAAACACAAAACAAAATGAAAAAAAACACAAAACTTCATATTTTGGACCTGCATATTTAGCTGTTTTTTGGACTGCAATTATTTCCCCTTTTGAGTTTCAAATATAAGACTGCTGCAGTCACATCAGAGTGTTAAGTGGTAAATCTTGTTTCTGTCATTCCCATTCTTTTTTGTTTAGATAATAAAGTTGTATTTCAAGTATCTCTAAGCAAGTGAACTTTCCTGCATTATTAGGAAAACTTTCCAAAGTGTCTTTTGTTCTTCAGTTGAGGCTAATACTGGGTGTCGACTGCATTTCTCATTCTCTGTCCTCCTTTTCCCTCCTGCTTCTCATGTTACGCTCCTCTTGCTAAATCAGAACTAACAGTTTCCCTTGATTTCCTGAAGCATATAATTAAAGCACCAGAGGAGAGCTGAACTAATTGTCAGGTAAAACTAAAGCAGTGAACACTTGGCTGGAGACTCGATCAGCGTTCCCTTGCAGATGGGAATGTTTCTTGTCTGCAGGGTGCAGCTGAGAGAAAAGTGTAGTTCAGCTTGCATACGCTACCATTAGATACAGTCTCAACTCTTTTATGTTTTACAACATGCCTTTACAGAGTTCTGCATTTCTAGTAGCCAGAAACAAATGACGTCTAGGTCTGTTAGGTGACTTTAAGAGCTGTATCTTTGCATGGAATGTCATTCAGTAGACCTATAGCTGATTAAACAAACTCTCAAAGCATCTTAAAATTCACTAACTAGAAAACAGCTGTAGTTTGAGCTGAAAACTCTTGGCTACAAAATGGCATATTAACTAAAACCACATTTATATAAATATCTAAACTTTACTGTAACTGCACCAAGTTCTTAATTTGAAACTAGCTTATTACAGCACAAATGGTGGAAAATGTCAGCTTTAAACACTATCTTGTAGAGATTAATCTTGGTCAATATTAGTACTGCTAGTAAACAAAACTAAGTCGAAGAAACCATTTTTCAGTAGTGTTTGAGTACATGGAGCCTTGAACTCTTCAGTTTTTGTATTTTTGGTTTCTTAATAAAGTGGAGCATTTCATTTATTCCTTTTAACTTGCATGTCTGTGTACATACCTTCTACTTGAACGTTAACTGGTCAGCTGTTCCAGTACATGGTAGCAAAAGGTCTGAACTATGATTAATCTGTACTACTGTTTTAAAGGAGTAATTTGAGTTCTAGGTCTTTTTTTGTTTGGTGGTGGGGCTTTTTTGTTAGCTAGTGGATGAGAGGCTGAGTTGAATTTAGGGCCTGAAATTCATTAATGAAAATAAGGAATGTTGTACACTTAGTTTGTGAAAGAGACACTCCCACTTCACATTACACGAATCTTGCTGCATCATCTTGCTTTAACTTTACATTACAGGTTCTTGCCTTGTAGCATTTACTAATTTACATGTGCGTATCTCAGTTAATACTGCTAGCTTACTTGCTGCTGCTTTACTAGATGGAGCTTTTTTGTCTTTAAGCTGTCTCATTTCTGAAAATACATTGCTTACAAACAAAACCACAGACAAACCATAAATTGATCTCGGTCTTCAGTAGTTCTGCAGTATTGATACGCCTTAAGAAGAAAAGCAGCGCTAGAGTTACAGATGTATTGGTTGATAGTGTGTGTATGGTGTCACCCATACAACTTGCCTGCTGCACGAAGGTACTGGCCTTAGTGTAAATTCCTAGGAAACAGCTGAAGAGATCTATGAAAAGGGAAGTAGCTGGTTAAAGATGAGTGTATCTGCTGTGAGCTTTGCTTTGTGATCTTCAGTGTTATTTCAGAGGCCACAAGAACTTGTCTCTGAAGTAGGCAGTAATGCAGCCCTGTAATCTCCAACTTCATGTTTTGTTTTGAGAGAGGAATTAAGTCTGCTTGTTGCAGCATTGTTCTTGCTTTTGCCACATCTGATTTGTGTTAATTGTTGATTATAAATAATGCAGGTAGCCTTAGTCTGCATCTGCAGATTCCTCAGTTGAAGTTCCTTAACTATAGAAGAGTTTTTTCCTTAGTTTGGTTTAGGCAAAAATGAAAGTTTACTTATTTAGCCAAGTAGTGAGGAAAATAAAACTTGCATTTTAAGAACCACTGTACCAAATAGTCACACCAGTCTGTATTAGAGCTCCATTATTATACAGACTGATGAGACTGGAACCCTTCATTGCATATACCTATTTTATTTTACTTGCTTGACTGCTGTCAGGTTAGATCAGATGAATTGTAGTTCTTGTTCCGTATGCACCCTTTGAGTTTACCCACACGAAGATCTCTAGTTTGATTGGTTTTCAGGAACTTGTCGTTTCAGACCACACTCACCTCTAACTTTCAAGAGCAGGATGAGGTGCTGGGCCGTGTACTGCTGTTTTTTAAGTGTCTAAGCCCAGAGGATTGTGTTAGATTGTGCAGCTGGAAAACCAGTGCACATGCCAAACAGGTAAGGCAAAAACAGTTCCAGAAAGTCAAGGGAAATATTTTGCTGTTACTCACTGAACCTTTAAACGAAGCAATGTTAAAGGCTGCCTTGGGTAAGCTAGGGTTGCTGTTGAAGGTCTTGGGATTTCAGCAGAGAACCTGTTCAGAAGCATTGGAGAACACTTAGCTGCAACAACTGGAAATGGTGTGCTGAGAAGGCTGAAGTCTTGTCTCTCATGCCTGCAAGTTACCGTGCAACCAAATTTGTCTTTTTCCTGTAGAAGTGGTGCTGTTGAGTTGCTAATATAATCTTGGTCTAAATTAGTGGAGGAGACAGTGCTGATATAAATTGTTTTTCTGCCTTCATCTTCCTAAAACAAAT